GACACCTGCACTCTGGCGACACGTTTGTCTCGGAATGAGGTTCCGGCCTGTGCGTGGGCCTCATCTTTGATTAAACATGTTGCTGCCGCCCAGGCGCCAGCGACATCTTTCACCGAGCGTGTCGTTCTCGCCTGTACAGTCGGGGCCTTGAAGAAGGAACGCTTTTCGTTGGGGAGGGGCTCGGTGTTCCTTGATTGTTTCACAGCGTGCCTCAGGTTTTCCTCATGTTTTCGATGGGAAATCGAAGCTTAACTTGTGGAAAAAAAGGGGCCTCGTTCCTTATTTAAGGTTCCTTAGGTCAACGCCCCGACTGTACACGCGCACACCGATCCTGGCCAGGCCATGCCTTGGCCCAGCATCGGTGCACCCCGCCAAAGCAGGCACCGGCGTGCCAGCAGGTGCCCCGCGGAAGTTTCGCATATCTCTCAACAGCCTCTAGTCGGGCATGCCCCTCTACGGGCGGAATAGATTCAATAATTGTCAAACAAATGCCTGGGGACGATGTTTGGACTATGTTTGAATATTTTTTGATCATGTTTGAATTATTTCCTAATTTGTCTTAGAAGATCCGCCTGTAGGATGACTTGCCCGATCTAACGATCGCCCCAGGGACCCGCACAAGTTGCGGGGCCCCTCAGGACCCTCAGAGATCGGCGGCAGCAGTGTCCCCAGATTTCTCGAAAGCGTTTTCTTCCTCCCAGGCGAGAGCGGGCGTTACTGGGGGGGGGGGAGGGGGAGGGGGCCGGTAACGTCGCGTTTGGTGCCGGCGCCGTTTGGAAATGCTGATAGGAATAACTAAAGACAATTCGGAGGTCAGCACAAATCGTGACGTTTCCGGGGGGAGGGAAGGTCAATGCCTGCAACGGCGGATTCATCGCGAGAAATGTGAAAACGCTGTCTTTCAAGCAAGAATCCAAATAGTATGTCTCTGCTGTTTAGTATCGTTAAACTTACCCTTATCCCCACCAGGCAATGGGACCTCAGCCCCACTATCTCACAGCTCCAATTGGGAAGGGGCCCCTCGAAGCCCGAACGCAGCAGCCTCTCTGTATCCCCATCTATCGGCGGCGAGCCCCGGGGGGAAGCGAGAAGGAGAAGGCTTTCTCAGAAGGCTCAGAAGTCCCCCCGCCTTCTGAGGTGTTTTCTGAGCCCTCCCCGAAGACGCAGAACATTTCTCAGAAGGCGCGAGGGCCTCTGAGAAGTCCCGCCGCCATCTGAGAAGGCTTTCCTCTTTTTCATTTCCCCCTCCTCGCTCGCCGCCGAATCTAGGGTTGTGGAGGAGGATCAATTGAGAGGAAGCATGTTGCCAAATAATCTCCAGATGTATAAAACATGTTAGACACATGTTTGACGAATGTCTATAATTTCCATATTGCCAAACAGTTTCCAGATGTCTAGACTCTCCAACATGACTAAACCATGGTGAGAACGTTTTTCCAACATGCGCTAGCACATCTTAATTTTCAAGGATAGGACTGTCAGGGTGTCAGGGTGTCCATTGTCGTGGCATCCGCAAATCTGGGGGTTCAGTCGGCAGGTGGGGTCCAGGACGATGAATGGAGAGGAAGCATGTTGCCAAATAATCTCCAGATGTATATAACATGTCTTAAACATTCAAGCAATGTGTTTAAAACATGTTTAGAACGTTTTTCCGACATGCGTCAACACATCTTAAACTTCAAGCATAGGACTGTCAGGGTGTCCATTGTCGTGGCATCCACAAATCTGGGGGTTCAGCCGGCAGGTGGGGCCCAGGGGCGCGACGGTGGCGACGGGGAGCGTCCGCACGACGCCACGCTATTAGCTGCCTCTCTCCCCCGCCGAGCGGGGAGGCCGGCCCTCGCCGAGCCAGGACGGCGTGACGCGAGCAGGGGGTCGACGACACAATTGGCTTAGCCTTAAGTCGGGCCTGTCCCTCTACAGGGGGACTTTGGACGAGAAATTAAAAATACCCCAACAATACCCCCAAATGGTAAAAAAATACTCAAACAATCGTCCCCTGACTATGTTTACACTATTCTTGAGTAACGACCCCTGAAAAAATACTCAAACAATCGTCCCCTGAATCGGGATATTCAAGAATAGTGTAAACATAGTCAGGGGACGATTGTTTGAGTATTTTTTGACCATGTGGGGGTCTTGTTGGGGTATTTTGAATTTCTCGTCCAAGGTCCCCCTGTAGGGGGACAGGCCCGACTTGAGCTGACCCCAATCTTTGGTTTTCTCGTCGAATCTACGACGCATGCGTGGACGATCTGCGAGCATCATGCGTATGTTTCGTACTTCCACGAGCATCATGCGCATTTCTTCTGGTGGCCCGGGTCACGAGCGGCGAACATGTCCGTATCTGCGCCTTCGCGGTCTGGATTCCGGGGCGCGTTCCCGCGGATACGCGGTCGCACGGATCGGGACGATCGAAATGGGTATTACGGAAAGAGTGGGCACAACGATCGCCAGCAGATCTGGTTCATTTTGAGCAAGGCTCGCTGTCCGCGCCGCCGCGGACGTTGTCCCTTGAAGACGCAAAGTCGCCCGCCCAACGGCTGCCGCTGTCGAGTTCGGACAACGTTTGTTGTTGGGCATCGTACCCATGTTCTTCGTACCCATGTCGGGCGTCCAAAACGGATACGTTCCGTGCGGGATATCCGAGAGGAAATGCCCCGTATCCGCGAGGCCGCGGATACGGATATATGTTTTTTCGTCCACGGTTCATTTGTCCTCGCAAGAGGCTGCGTCGCAAGAGCCAGCGAAGCAAAGTCGGGCTCGACCGTTTGGCCCTGCCCCTCGCACGAGCCGAGGGTTGACTCGACGTGTCGTTTTGACGGCGCGTGCATGCTAATAGAATTCCTTTCGTCTGCACAGGCTTCGGTCTACAGTCGGGGCCCTGAAGAAGGAACCCTTTTCGTTGGGGAGGGGCTCGGTGTTCCTTAAGTGTTTCGCAGCTTGCCTCAGGCTTTCCTTATGTTTTCGATAGGAAGTCGAAGTTCAACTTATGGAAAAAAATGGGCCTCGTTCCTTATTTAGGGTTATTTGTGATTGTACGTTGCAAGGGGAACATCATAATCATCCCGCCTCGTCGTCCTTTCCCTCCCTCCCCCCCCCCTTCGGCATGCATTTGGCGTGTCAGTCACATGATTGCATGCGTTTGGCATGTTCTGTGCCGCCCTGCACGCGTTTGGCGTGTCTGCCTCGTTCTGCCGAGGCGCCGTGCCGTAGGTTGGCGCATGGCTTCTGTCTGTCTAGGTCAAGGCCCCGACTGTACCTCCGATGCTCTGCGGCGAGCGAGGGGGGGAAGTGTGAGAAGGAGAAGGCTTCCTCAGCAGAAGGTTCGGAAGTCCCCGCCGGGCCTTCTGCTGAACAGTTTCTTCGGCCGCCCCCCGAAGACGCAGAAAAAGCTTTTCGGACGGCGCGAGGGCCTCTGAGAAGCCCCGCCGCCCTCTGACGAGGCCTTCTCCTTCTCGCTTCCCCCCCCCCCTCGCTCCCCGCCGAGATGGAGAGTCGGTTCACTCTTCGCCCACGACCCGGTGCCCGAGATCGGGGCTCCTCCTCCTCCTCCTCCTCCTCCTCCTCCTCCTCCTCCTCCTCCTCCTCCTCTCCCCTCCTCCTCCTCCTCCTCCTCCTCCTCCTCCTCCTCCTCCTCTTTCTCCTCCCCCCCCTCCTCTCTTCCTCCTCCTCCTCCTCCTCCTCCTCCTCCTCCTCCTCCTCCTCCTCCTGATCGTAAACATGGATCAAGGGGGCGTGGATTAGCGACGGGTCCCGTTCCCATGAGAATTTGCGGATCCCCGCCGGGGAGCGAGGCGGCGCCCGGCCGCATTTCGGGGAAGGCACCTCCCTGGATCCATGGATTTGGCGGCCGCGCGCCAGATCCATGGATCGCTAATCCCTGGCGACCGGAACCGTGCCAGCATCCAGCAGACCAAGCCTGGGAGAGCTGGGCCCCGCCGGTGGCCCCGCCAGGTGCCGCACGGCGGAGGCCCGTGCCAAGAGACGCCCCGCTTGCCTCCAGGGTGCCCTGGGTTTGTCTTGGGTTTCCAGGGCTCTGCGATGGAGGGCGTGCGTTTTGGTGATGCCTGAGGCCCCGCCGCTTTAGGTAATTCGTCTTTGCGCGGCCCGCTCTGACTCGACTCGCCGTTTGCGCTTTCGCTTGCGGCCGCTGACTAAAAAGATGGGGAGCGTGACGCTTCCCACCCCGGAGGTCCATGCACGTCCTCGAGACGTCCATGGATTTCTGGTGGTGCGGGAGCGTCGCGCTTTCCACAGGACCCAGGTCTCAGGGTTGGGTTTTTTGTGAAGGTGTCTTGTCTTGTGCTAGAATTAAGTCGGGCCTGTCCTCCTACAGGGAGATTTTGGACGAAAAAAATTAAAGATAGTCAGAAGATGCCCCAAAATGGGAGAAAAATGCTCAACAAATCGTCCCCAGGCTATGGTTTGACTATTTTGGAATATTCCTCCTCTAAAAGGGCATGCCCGACTTTCCACTCTTGCCGCGGCGCGGCCCGTCGGTCCCCCCGCCCTGGACGCGCCTCTCACTCGCCGCGCGCAATCGTGTGGAGGGGTGGCCGGGCGATGATCGGCCCTCTCCGACACAGTGCAGCGTCGATCTTCGGGGGACTTGGCATCGCTCGGACGTGTGCATTATTTCCTTCGGCGAGGACCATCGAGGAGCATCCTTGATCATTTGGCGAAAAAAACCACGTGCGAAACCGAACAACAACACAGGGAATGCACCTCCAAGCGACGGCGAGGAGAATGTGGGGCAATGTGGGGAGTGGGGGGGGGAAAAAACGACACTCCAGGGATGATATATGGAAGTCAGATGGGGCATCCTCGGACCTGTGTGTATATATATATAGTTCTTTGCGTGCCCCCGGGCTCCTCTGACAAACAAGCCCCCCGTGGCGTGCGCGACGTGTTGGCCGCCGCGGCGGTCGGTCGGGCCTCGCCTGCCGTGGCCTCCGGTGCCCCGCCCCCTCGTCGCCCGCGGCCGCGGGCCCCGCGAGCTGGAGGGCTGCGTCGCGCTGCGGGACGCCGCCGCCTGCGAGCGGGCCGGCCGCCTCGACCAGGCCGCGCGCGGGCAACGGCAGCCTCAGGTCGGGCCTGTCCCCCCTACGGGGGGATGTTTGACGAAAGGTATGCAGCAGATGCAAAAAGAATATGCAGAAGATGCCGAACAGTATGCAGACAGATGCAGAAGATGCAGGAGAAGCAGATATTGGATCCCAAGCGTGTGCAGAAGAGGCCCCAAGCATATGCAAAACAATAGTCCCCAGGCTACTGTTTGACCCTATTTTTTTTTAGATCCCCCCTGTAGAGGGACAGGCCCGACCTAACGATAGCCGGAATCCCCGAGCAATCGTGGCCCGGGTCTGCTATTTGAAGGCGTCCTTTTCTGGAAGCGGGGGGGGTCCGGTCTAGTAGGGTGGTTTCTGTAAACCGAAGGCGAGGGGGGGTCGGAATAGGAAGGCCCCCCGTTGGCAGGGAGATAAGGTGTTACCGCGGCCCGTTGGTTGTTACTGCGGCCCCGTGGGTGTTAGTATGGGCAGGGGTCCTCCGGAGTGTATTAATTATCGAGTACGGTGAAGGGGGGGGGGAGGTCCAAAAAGGCTCCGCCCCCCCCCCTTCACCGAAGAGCCTCTCGGAAGAGCTTCTGGTGCTCTCCGAAGCGCCTCTTGGAACCGCCGAAGCTCTTCTTGCAGCCGCCTAAGGGCCTCTTGGGCTCTCCGAAGAGCCCCGTGGGGCCTCCGAAGAGCCTCTTGGGGCATCCGAAGCGCTTCTTGGGCTCTCGGAAGAGCCTCTTGGGCTCTCCGAACTACGACTGCTGCTGCTGCTGCTGCTACTACGGCTACTACTACTACTACTACTACTACTACTACTACTACTACTACTACTACTACTACTACTACTACTACTACTACTACTACTCCTACTACTACTACTACTACTACTACTACTACTACTACTACTACTACTACTACTACTACTACTACTACTACTACTACTACTACTACTACTACTACTACTACTACTACTACTACTACTACTACTACTACTACTACTACTATTACTACTACTACTACTACTACTACTACTACTACTACTACTACTACTACTACTACTACTACTACTACTACTACTACTACTACTACTACTACTACTACTACTACTACTACTACTACTACTACTACTACTACTACTACTACTACTACTCGTCGTCGTCGTCGTCGTCGTCGTCGTCGTCGTCGTCGTCGTCGTCGTCGTCGTCGTCGTCCCTAGCGCCCTAGGGCTAGCACTCCCTAGCGCCAGTACTTCCTAGGGCTAGCACTCCCTAGCGCCACTACTTCCTAGCACTCCCTCGGACTAGCACTCCCTAGGACTAGTATTCCCTAGGGCTGGTACTCCGTAGTGCGAGTACTCCCTAGGACGAATACTCCCTTGGACGAATACGCCCTTGGGGTAGTAATTCCTAGGACTGGTACTCCCTGGGGCTAGCACTCCCTGCGGCTAGTACTCCGTAGGACTAGTACTCCCTATGAATGATAGTACCTAACACCAACACTACAGCACCATAGTACTACCACACTACAGCACTACTACCACAATTCCAGTACCACAACACCACAACACCGCTACCACAACACCACAACACCGCTACCACAATACCACAACCACAACACCACAACAGCGCTACCACAACACCACTACCACAGCACCACTGCCACTACCACAACACTACTACCTACTAACAACTCAACCTTGCCAACACCACACCACTAACACAACACTACCACACCACACCACTAACACAGCACACCACTACCAACACCCCACCACTAACACAGCATACAGCACAACCCGCCACTACCAACACCACACCACTAACACAACATTACCAACACCACACCACACCACTAACACAGCACAGCGACCACCACACCACTAACACAGCACTACTACCACGTTGGTTCCAGATGGGAGTTACTGTGGCCACTTTTGCCTGCGCGGGAGTGCATTCCCTTAAGGGTCGCGAGTCTCTCCAGATCTAACATGAGGTACCTTTACATATTACTTTTCATTGAGCGGCCTGCGCGGGCCACAGTAACTCCCATCTCGCCGCGCGACGGGCCACACTAACACCCAACGGGCCACACTAACACCCAACGGGCCACAGTAACAACTGGTCGCCGTTGGCAGGGGGGTCCGGAAAAGTCGGTTGCCGTTGCAGGGGGGGTCCGGTTTTTTAGGGGGGGGTCGATAATTCATTCAGGGATTTCGAGTAAGGTCGGAGGAAGGGCCCGTTTTTGTTGGGGGGGGGGTCTGGGCGGTAACGGCCGCGATCAGCCCTCACCCTCATCCTGCTCCTCCTGCTCCTGCTCCTGCTCCTCTGCCGTCGCATCCGTCTCATCCGTCTCATCCGCCTCCTCCTCTTCCTCCTCCTCCTCCGCCTCCTCCGCCTGCCCTTCCTCCTCCTCCTTTTCCTCCTCCTCCTCCTCCTCCTCCTCCTTCCCCCCACCCCCGATCCCGTCACGCTGTTTTTGCCCACGTGTGCGAGGATGCCCGGCGGATGCTTGGAGGATGTCCTAAGATTTCCGAGAGCGGCCCCCCGCCGTGCCGTGGCTCGGGGGGGGGGGGGCGAAGTCTCCTCCCCCCCCCTCCCACGATCACGCGGGCAGCGCAAGTCGGCGTCGAGCGAGGGGGGGGGAGGGAGAAGGAGAAGGCCTCGTCAGAAGGCGGCGGGGCGCTTCTTCGAAGCCCTCGCGCCTTCTGAGGAGGTGTCTGCGTCTTCGGGGAGGGCTTGGAGAACTGCCCAGAGGGCCAGAGGTCTTCCGGGCCTGCTGAGAAGGCCCGCCCCTTCTGACTTCCCCCAGGCTCGCCGCCAAGTTGAGGTCGGGGGGACGTAAGACCTGAGTACGCCGGAAGTCGAAACTTGCCGACGCTTTTTGGCGAGCGCGTCCTGGGACTTGACGGTCCAGTTTTCTCGGGATGTCTGCAGCAGGAGATACGCGCATGATGGCCCCGTCAGGCCAACCCGAGTCCCCCGCACTCTTGCCTTACGCCTCCCCGATGAAGGGGGAGGACATTGGGATGGGCGCGGGGGCTGCTGAGGGGATGGGGGGTTCGAGTCGACCAAAAAACAAGAGACACCACCCCACCTACGGCCCTCCATGTTGCGCTACGGCCCATCGGACGCCGTGGCGTATACCACGCAACAGCCCACGCCAGATCTTCTGGTGTACGCTAAACCCCGTGGGGCCGTAGGTGGGGTGGTGTCGTTTGTTTTCTGGTCCATCGAGGTTCGAGGCGCTCGGGGGTTGCCGTCTGACCTCGGCGAGCTTCCCAGCTTCGGGGTGCTCTCTTCAGCAGCCGCGCCTCGCCGAGAGCGCTCGTTCCTGGCGGTGCCTGGGGATGGTCCCGACTTGCCGCCGAAGGCCAGAGCTATGGTTAAGTCGGGCCTGCCCCTCTACAGGAGGAATATGCAAAAACAGTACCGTAGCACCCCGCAGATGCGGATAAGAGTGAGTGGGCGGTGGGGACTTCGGCAGTCTGCGAGACTCAGGAGAAGCCCGCCGCAGGCGCCAACGTTTCACAGATTATACAAGTAGCCCGCCGCAGGCGCCGATATTTTTCGTCGAGCCAATCTGGGTAGGTCGCGCGTAGGTCGCAAATGGATCGCGGGTGGGTCGCGGGTGGGTTGCGGGGTGGATCGCAGGTGGGTCATAAGAGGGTTGGGGGTGGGTCGTGGGTGAGTCGCGGGTGGGTCGCGGGGTGGGTCGCGGGTGGGTAACGGGGTGGGTCGCGGGTGGGTGGGTCGCGGGTGGGTCGCGGGTGGGTCGTGGGTTGGGTCGCGGGTGGATCGCGGGGTGGATCGCGGGGTGGGTCGCGGGGTGGGTCGCGGGGTGTGTCGCGGGTGGGTCGCGGGTGGGACGACGACAGCAAACAACCACAACGCAACAACGCAACAAGCAGAATCCTCACCACGGACCCCCACTTCAGCCACGCACCCAGGGACAATGAATGACCGTTCGGCCCCCTCACTCTGATGAAAATAGTTTGGGGACGTTTTTTTTATAGATGTTTGACTATTTTTTGGGCACTTCTCGACTATTTTGAATTCTTCCGTCCAACATCCGCCTGTATGAGGAGACGTCCGACCTGAAGTTATGGCCCAGAAGCCACCTCGTTACGTTGCATCTTCGGGGGGCCTCGCCTGTCCCCAAAATTGGTGTCTTTTCTTGTGCCCGACGCGGACTCAATGCGGACTCGACGCGGACTTGGCGTGGATTCGACGGAGATTCGACACGGATTCGTCACGGATCCGACGAGTCCGACAAGTATTCGACACCGATGCGACGCGCACAGGGCCGAGAGGGGACAGACAAGGTCCCAGGAGGATGCGGCAGAAGCCTCGGACAGGGATGCTGGGATCGACAAGGGGGTTGCTGAGGGGATATGGGTGATTCCCAAGGATACCAAGGTGGGTTACAACTGGCCCAATCTAGCTGTCCCAAGTGGGCTACACATGCCCCAAGTGGCTCAGGGGTCATCGATCTGGGCAAAGTGGGTTCCGCCCGCTCAGCGGAGCAGTCTAACCTCGTGGAGGACGATCAAGGGAGAGGAAGCATGGTGCCAAATAATTCCCATATGTCTAAGACATGCATCAAACATGTTTAGGATAGGACCGTTAGGGTGCCCATATGTCAAACATTCAAGGATAGGACTGTTAGGGTGTCCATTGTCGTGGCATCCACAAGTCTGACCTCACCTGACCCCCTGGATGTAAACCACCTCGGCATCCACTGAGAACTCGCTCATTCCCTCAGTGACCCCTGCGCCCACCGCAGTGCTCTTAGCGTGCCACTCCGCCGGTTCTGGCCCACCGCGCTCCGGCGCGGTGCGCCATCCCCCGTCCGAGTCCCCGAGCGGCAGCGTCTCGAGCTCTTCCAAGCCTCCCACTCCGCGGAGCGAAGCGACACGCTGCCCGCTCGGAAGGCATAGCGTGTCGTCGGGGCCGCCGCCGCGACGCGGTATCCAAAAGTTCGCGACCGCAGCTGCTATACACCCGAAATTCGGGTCTTCGGGTTGGGTTGGTGTGGGCTGGTAGGTAGTCCATTGTGGTACTCATCGGCGCGGAAGGACTTTGCACGAAGACCTAAAGCAGTTCCAGTTCAATTTGAACAGGACTCCCTGCCATTCAGCCGGGCATAGGTGGAATATTTAAGAATAGTGAAAACAATGATACCGGAGAAAAAAACCCAATCAGGGCTATAGGGCTAGGGGTCTATAGGGCTATTGAGTTATAGGGCTATAGAGCTATAGGGCTATAGAGTTGTAGGGCTCTATAGGGCTATTGGGCTATAGGGCAACCCCGGGCACCCCCGGGCACCCCCGTGCACGCCCGGCTACCTGGGCACCTGGGCACCCGGACACCCCCGGGCACCCAGGCACCCGGGCGTGCAGCGAAAATCGGCGGCAAACCTAACCTAACCATATGAATCCGCTAGGACCCCTACAGAGGCAAGCTCTGATTGGGGAATAGTCTGGTGACGATGTTTCGTGCTCGTTTGACTCTGTTTGATTCTTCGTGGGCTAATTCTGCATGTTTCTTTCAAGTCCGCCTGTAGAAAGACATGCCCGACATAAGCCTACCAGTGTCGCCGCGGGCGTTGACCACTTGAGACAGAAGACCTGCTGCCCAACAGCGGCCGCTCCCCGTTTTGGATCACATGTGCTGTTGGGCACCGTACCCATCTTGCCCGTGTGGTCCTTCCACCTCCTGGCAAAACGCCATCACGGTGGGGAAACCCATGCCGAGAAACACCCTTTTGGACTCCAGTGTGCCCTGCGCTTCGATGGTTCTGCGGTGGAAAGCGTGACGTTTCCCACACCAGACATCCATGGACGTCCTGGGGGAGGAGGGGAGGAGGAGGAGGAGGAGGAGGAGGAGGAGGAGGAGGGGTCTCGAGGTTGGGCACCTTCTGGAAGAATCAGATTGCGGTCAAGCTCCCATTGTGCTCGGCTCGCGCGCGAGGCCTCGGCGCGCGCTCCGCTCGCGCCGAGCAGCGCCCCGCCTCTGCGGCGTCCTCCTCCTCCTCCTCCTCCTTCCTCCTCCTCCTCCCTCCTCCTCTCTCGATCCTCCTCCTCCTCCTCCTCCTCCTCCTCCTCCTCCTCCTCCCCTCCTCCTCCCTCTCTCCTTCCTCCTCCTCCTCCTCCTCCTCCTCCTCCTCCTCCTCCTCCTCCTCCTCCTCCTCCCTCCTCCTCCTCCTCCTCCTTCTCCTCCTCCTCCTCCCTCCTCCTCCTCGATCTCGCACACGCCCGGCACGAGCAGCTGCCGGCCTCGGGCCTCCGGCGTCGTGCTTGGTCCCCAGGTTCCGGCCCCGAGCCTGCCTGCAGCATCGAGACGTCCGAGGTCGGTCTGCTCGCGGAGCTCTGGGCGCCCGAGATGGGCACGGAAAGAATGGGTACGATGTGGCATAAACATAATCACTCGCAGGTCCGCGTGGATTTCTCGGATCGGCGCTGGACCCCCATCCCTGGCGCGCGGAGCGCGCCAGGGGCGGCGCCAGAGGCGCCGCCGGGGGGCCCCAGCGCCGCTCCGAGAAATCCGCGCGGACCTCAGAGTTTTTTATGTTTATGCCCGAAAGAATGGGTACAATGCCCAACAGCAGTTCCTGTTTATTCTGAACAGGACTCGCTGTCCGCGCCGCCGCGGCCTGTGTCCATCCGAGACAGAAGGCCGCTTGCCCAACAGCGGCCGCTGTTGGTTTGGGACAACAGTTGCTGTTGGGCATGGTACCCATTGTTTCGGTACCCATTTCGGGCGCCCAAAATCGAGACGTCTGAGGTCGGTCTGCTCGCAGAGCTGCGACTAACAAAATGGTGTACCTCAATGTTTTCCTTTCTCAGAGATGCCTTGTTTTCTCTACCGAGTTCGAGCTGTAGACGAGCCACGAAGCTCAGATGCACACGAATCGCAGGGTGTGCTGAGAAGCGCAGTCTACTATTTGCACTCTGCAGCTTTTTGAGATTCGATGCTGGTTTTCTCAATTTTATTCGAAATTTTGGCAAGCTACGGAGCTGGGAAGCCAACCGTTGGCGACTAAACCCCGATTCGCTCTCTGCAATTTGGGGTAAGATAATGTTTGTTTCCTCCTCAATTCGAGCTGTAGTCCAGCTCGGAGCTGAGATATACACCGATCGGCAGAAAATGCTGAGAAGCGGCGCTAGGCACAAATATTCAGACGCCAGGGCTCGGTCTGAAAAGAGCCGCGACCAATCAGACAATTCGACTCTTGACATTTAGAGAGGCGGCGTGGGTTCTCTCTGCTTCATTCGAGCTGTAGGGAAGCTAAGGAGTTGGAACCACTCCGTTCGAATGGAAAAGATCACGAGCGCGAGTATCGAGACGCTACGATCCGACTCCTAAGAGAGCTGCGACCGACCAACTATTTGTACTCTCTGCGAACAGCTGGGTCTTGACCTCTTCCTGTGGACCAGGTTGCCGTCTTGGGCCCTTCTTTGGTCGACTATAGAAGTAAGAATGAGTGACCTTCCGCCGGAGTGACCTTTTGGTGCGGGCACAGATGGGTCCCCAGATGGATGAAAACGAGGCAGGAGCGGCGGCTTGTGCGCCCAGGTGTGGTCCCCCCCCGCGGCCCCCAAAAAACCGCGCACCAAAGGCCACTCTTACCCAGGGTCGCTCCAGCGTGTGCAGTCAAAAACCCGAATCAGGACGCGCGACTTTGCTCGGGTACCCTTGCGCCCTTGCTCTTCCTTGCTCTTGCGTCCTTGGGGTTTTCGTCGTCCGCCGCCCCAGAAATCCCAACTTCGGCTTCCAAGGGTCTCGCGTCCTTCCCGCGCGTCCTTATTAGGGTTTTTCACTGTGCCCAGGGTCGCTCCAGCGTGTCGCCGATCTGACGGCCCCGCGGGGCCACGCCAGGGCCCCCCTGCTGCAGCAGCACGCCGCGGGGGAGCACCTCCGCCTCCTCCTCCGCCTCCTCCTCCTCCTCCTCCTCCGCCTCCTCCTCCTCCTCCTCCTCCTCCTCCTCCTCCTCCTCCTCCCTCTTCCCTCCTCCCTCCTCCCTCCTCCCGGGGGAAGGCCCTCGGCGCCCCCCACAGGCCGCGCGGCACTTCCGCCGGGCCTACCGGCTCTGGCCCGAGCTGGACTCCGCGATGCACTCGGACGGCGTGCCGGCTGCCCTGCGGAGGGAGGCGGACGCGCTGGCGAGGCCCAGGGGAGGAACAAGTCGCAGGCGATTGCGAAGGCCTTACGGCCGGTGCCGCCGACCCAGGAGGGCGACCCATGCGTTCTCTAATGTGGCGGGGGGGGCCTCTTGGGGGTATCTTTGGGTCTCGTGTGGGGGGGGGTCGTGTGCACTCGGACGGCGTGCCGGCTGCCCTCCGGAGGGAGGCGGACGCGCTGGCGAGGCCCAGGGGAGGAACATCGCAGGCGATTATTCGCCCCCCCCGACGTTTCGATGAAAGAGGCAGCCACTCAAGACAAGGAGAGGAGCCCTGGGATATATAGATATATACACACACATACATATACATATATACATATATATATATAGATATATATATACACACCCCGAGGGGGCCATGCGGACGCACCCCTATTGCGGATGGACGCCCCCCATCGTATATCCCAGAGGTGAGCCCCAAATTTTGGGTCCATTCGAAAACCTCCCAAAGCCTGGGGTCGACAGATCCCCTGTTATGAAGGTTACCTCGACTACTCTGCGTCTTCGTGGGGGGCCTTTCCTGTCCTGCAGACGGCAGTCTTCTCTTGTGCTCCGACGTGGGTTCGACGCGGAGTCGACGTGAACTCGGCCTGAATTCGACACGGATTCGGCACGGACGCGGGAAAAGGATCGACGCGTTCGACACGGATTCGACGTGGGTGCGTCACGGATGCCTGGCGCGATTGGACAGACGAGGTCCCCCAAAGATGCAACGTAAGGCACCGATACCGTTGCCCTTGCCTCGTTTCCGCCGTTTCGGGCCTCCTGGGAGGCCCTCACTGCCACTGTTGGATTCGTCTCGAAATCTTTGTCAGAACGCATCTCGGGAGAGGCCTGGGGAGCAGCGGTGTTGGCATCTCCCTGTCATCGAGAACAAAAAACCCTGACCGAATGACACGATGAAGACGTGGCCTCACTTAGGTCCCTGTCCTCGCATTCGGAATAATACATCTGGGCGGTCTGGTCTGATACGCCTGCAGAAAAGAAGCCCTTATCCCTAATGTGATCGGCCCTCCTTCTTTTGGGCCCCCTCCAAGAGGGTTCGGGGTACTTCTACTGCTTATCGCCCTGGGCTCCCCGCAGGCCCCTGGATGAGGAGGAGGAGTGGCGCCTCGCGCGGGCGTGCTGGCCAGCCCTGCAGGGCCTGGGCCTCGCTGACGGGGAGCTCGCGGCGGTCTCCAGCCGCTGCCTCCAGAGGCTCTGGACCGGCCTCGGCTACGTGGTGCGCCTCTCGCTCTCGGGCACCGAGGGCTCGGAGTGCAGCGCGATCGCGAAGGTGGTGCGGCTGCCCGACGAGGCCGAGGACTGGCACAGGCGCGACCTCGACTCGTACGGCGTCGAGGCGGCCTTCTACGAGCGGGGGCTCGCCCAGCGGCTTCAGCTCACGGGGGCCGCGTGCCCCACGGGCCTCCACGTGGAGCGAGGCCAGCGGCGGAGAGGAGCAGGAGGAGGAGGAGCTCTCGGAGGAGGGCGTAGGAGGCGGAGGAGACGCGAGGCGACGGAGGGCGCCTCACGATCTGCATGACCGAGGCCCCCGGCACGCACGCGCGGAGGCTCAGCCGCGCGCAGGCGCTGGCCGCCCTCTCCTGGCTGGCGCGCCTGCACGCCTCGTGCTGGGGCCCCGCGGCCGCGGCCGCGGCCGTGGCCGCCGGGCTGCACGCGCAGGGCTGCTACTGGCGCCTGGGCCGGCCGGGAGACGACCCCGGCGGCCGCGAGGCCCCGGAGCCCGCGGGCCTCAGGTTTGGACACCCGACATGGGTACCGAAAGAATGGGCACCATGCCCAGCAACACATGTTGTCCCAGACCAACAGCGGCCGCTGTTGGGCAGGCGGCCTTCTGTCCCAAATGGACACAGGCCGCGGCGGCGCGGACTGCGAGTCCTGCTCAAAATGAACAGGAACTGCTGTTGGGCATTGTACCCATTCTTTCGGGCATAAACAAAAAAAAACTCGGAGGTCCGCGCGGATTTCTCGGAGCGGCGCTGGGGCCCCCCGGCGGCGCCTCTGGCGCCGCCCCTGGCGCGCTCCGCGCGCCAGGCATGGGGGTCCAGCGCCGATCCGAGAAATCCGCGCGGACCTCCGAGTTTTTATGTTCATGCCACTTGTTGCTCCCCTATCAGGAGCCGCCTGCGGCTGGCGTCCCCCGGGCTCGACGCCCGGCTTAGGGCGGACCACCTACATGTCGGGCGTTGCGCAATTGGGGGGGGCGAGGAGAGGGTAGGTCGGTCATGTCCCTGCACAGGAGGAGTGCTCAAGGATAGTATGAGCTGGTCTCAGGGACGATTCGTGGTGCTCTCTCGCTTGCTTTTGAGTTCTTGTGACTGTTCTTCATTTGTCCTCCTGAATCCGCTTGTAATTAGGGGGGGCATGCCCGAGTCAATGAAAGGGGGGGGAGTGAGGAAAGGTGTACCTTTCATGCAACTCAGGGGCCCTACGGGGCCCTCTGGGGCTCCAAAGGCGCACGGTTTTTCGCCCCCCCTACGCACCGCCCCCCCATCAAGCAACCCCCGATCCAGACCGTGTGCCACGGCGACGCCAAGGGGGCGAACATGCTCTTCGACGAGGGCGGCGGCGTGGCCTTCGTGGACTTCCAGTGGGCCTGCCAGGCCTCGGCGGCCAAGGACCTCGCCTACTGCCTGACGTGCGGCTACCCGGAGGACCTGGAGGACGGCGAGGAGGAGTACCTGGGGCACTACCACCGGGAGCTGGCGGCCCTGTTGCGCGCCGACGCGGTCCGGCCCGGCCTGCAGCAGGTGCGGGACTCGTACCAGCTGGCGTGTTGCGACCTCGCGCGCTTCCAGTGCACCGCCGGGTGGTGGGGCAACGCCCAGGCGCTCCGGGCGCGCGCGGCGGCGGTGCTGGACCGCGTCGACGGCGGCAGCCCGCTGCCCTCGGAGGAGGCATACCGCGACGCCATATTCGGCGCCTTCCCGGTCTGAGCCAGCGCGGCCTCCGAATCATTAGCGAAGGGCCGAGGTGCTGCAACATGCGCCCCTCCCCAGTCCCCTCCTCGAAAAGTCCCATCGAGTGAATTTTCTCATTGGGGAGACCTCCTCTCTCGAATGACACGTGTCCGATGGGCTTCATATTTAGGTGGCAGTCCTACGCGTTCTGAAATCAGGTGTGCTAATTGACTGTACCAGTTGGCGCCAGTTGCTCGAGTTGCTTCCCGGCGCGCCCTGGTCCGGGTAACGCTAATTGACTGCATTGGTTGGTTCTTGTTGCCCCAAGTTGCTCATCGATTGTGCCAGTTGGTTCCCATTCACTTGGGACCAGCTGGGGGCACCTGGGGTCAACTTGGACAGCTGTGGTCAACTGGGGCAACTGAGGTCAACTGGGGCGAGCTGGGGCCAGCCGGGCCAGATGGGGCGCCATCTGAAGCACGGGGCAACTTGGGCCAACAGGCAAATTGTGCAACCCAGGCAATTTGGGGACGACTGGGCAATCTGACGGCTTGGGGTGACGGGGACCAAGCCAACTGAGGCCGTTGGGGCAGCGCCATTATTTGCCCCGAGTGCATTGGTCGACCCCAGTCGTCCCACATAACCCCATTTGGCCCTAGTCTGCTGCAAATTGGCCCAAGCTGCTCCACCTGCCCCAGGAGCCCCAGTTGTTCCAAGAGCCCCAGTTACCCCCAGTGCCTCCCAGTTGGCCCAGGTGGCCCCAGGTGTCTCCCAGGTAATTAGCCCCAGCGGGCCCCAATTGACCGCAGTTGCCCTCGGTTGACCCTAGCTGGCCTCAGTTGGGCCCAGTTGCCTCCAGTTGGCCCCAGTTGGCCCCGCCCCTTCGCGCAGTTCCCCGCCCCTGGTTCCTCAGCTCCCCGCAACTGGCTTCGCGCAGTTCCAAGCCCCAGATTCTCCATGAGTCCCAACCGCTTCGCGCTTGTCTTGGTTTACGGCGTACGGTTTCGGGAAATGAACATTGGATTAGGAAATGAAGGGATGCTTGGAGAACTAATCTGCTAGGCCGTATGTGGTCACGCATTGCTGTTGAAGTGTGTATATGTCTGTGTATATGTAATTATATGGGCGCCCCAGAATGGGAGCCTTCCAGAATGGGGCGCGCCCCCGGGCACACACACACACATAAACGCATACACACATATCTACACATGTGTATATTGTATACATAAATACACATGTAAATGCATATATGTGCATAAATGTATACATGCACACACACACACACGCACCCACGCACGCACTCAGGCACGCACCCACACACACAAGCACACACACACAATACAACAAAACACATGACCCCTTTCGGACGGCCCCCCCGCCCAGTGGCACCTTCCTGACGGCCCCCCGGGCCTCCTCGGCTAGCCGCCCGCACTCTTCTGGACGCCGCGGATGCCCCAGGCCGCAGCGACTCCGAAGATGGACAAGAGATCCCGAGGACGGCTCCCACATGGCCCCAAGATTGCAACAACAACACCCAGCAGGCTCCCAAGAAGGCTCCAAAACACCCCCACTTCCCCCTGCTGTTCCGACCTCACTGCGCTGCACTATCATCTTCGAGACGACACCCAAGGCGCCCACACGGGCCCCAAGACGGCGTCCAGGCAGCCGAACGAAAGCCCAGGGCGGCTCCCAAGACAGCCTAGGGATCCGCGAGAATGGCCCAAGATGGCCCCAGGACGACCCATCCCCTTCCCCTGACTTGCGTACATCCTCTCATCCTTATGCTCCTCCTTCTCCTGCCCTATCCATCTCCTCCTCCTCGCCTCCCCTCCTCGACTTTCCTCCGCCACCCCCTCCTCGTCCATTCCTTTTCCTTATACATAATTTCTCCCTGTCGCACCCCGAGGCCAGTTTTTTAGAGCGGGCCGGGCGCTTCGCCTGATACTTCCTCACCATTTGTGATTCTGAAGCTTAAACGTGGAAACAGCTCCACAGATGAAGTGCAGGTGGTTTTCAACATGTGGCTCTCGCCATTACGCCGCGCGCACTCGTTTTAAACGTTCGCAAGAGCTTCACGGATTGAGGATAACCCGTTTTCAAAATGTGGCTCTCGCTTAGGCGCAGCGCGCGCTCGTTGAACACATGCAAGAACTTCACGGATTGAGGGTGACTCGTTTTAAAGATGTGGTTTTCGTTTTAGAGCCGCGCACCTTTGTTTATTAAATTTGCAAGAGTTTCACGAATTGAGGGTGACCCGTTTCCAAAATGTGGTTGTTTCTTTAGCGCCGCGCATATTCGTTGTTTTACGCAAGAGTTTCACGGATTGAGGGCGGTTCCTTTTCAAATTGTAGTTCTCGCGTTAGCGCCGCGCACAGTCGTTCCCAACCTTTTGCAAGAGCTTCACATATTCACACGATCAACGCACCAGAAATTGTGTTTTGGAAGGATTCGAGATTTTGCGGGTGCAACAGTTACGTTGATTCGCGGTGTTGAAATCCCAAGAATGGCGTTCTGGCACGACCCAGGATCGCCACCTCGCAACAGTCAGGTTGATCCGTGGCGTTGGAATCCCGAGAACAATGTTTTGGCATTCTTCGGGGTTTTCAAACGGTTGTCTTCCAACGAAGCAAACCCCTCAATGGAAATTAATCGTTGTGGGGGCCTATGAAGAGGGATCTTGGAGGGAGAGTGTATTCCAACATCGTTGATGCCTCTAGGGTTTGCATGGTTCTCCTCCTCCTCCTCCTTTTCCTCCTCGTCCTCCTCCTCCTCATCCTTCTCATCCTCCTTTCTTTCCGACCTCACTGCTTTGCACCTAGCGTCTTCGAACGGCGATGGTGCGTTCGGAGGCGGCGGACACGAGGTAGGGCCAGACGGGCCAAAAGCTGGAGGGACGGTCCGTGTCCCCATCCTTGCCCCAGGAGTTGACCTTCCCCCGTCTGCTGGTACGAAGGATTGCAAAAAAACGAAGGATTGCAAAACAAACCCTGGATTGCAATCCTTCGTTGCAATCCTTCGTTTTTGTTGCAATCCTTCGTTTTTTTGCAATCCTTCGCCCCAGGAGTTGACCTTCCCCCCTCTGCTGGTCCTCCGCGGCGCCCCCTCCACAGCGACCTCCGCTCTTCCACCCCCGCGCCCGTCGCTCGCACTGCCCCCCAGCCGTGCCCGTGGGCCTCACTCGGCATCTATGGGAATGGCCCTTCACTGGGTAGTCGAAGGCCAGACTGTCAGATTGGACTGGGCCCCAAGGGCCAATCTGGCCCAGCCAAACTGGATGATTTGGGTCATTCGCCGGACTGGATTCGCGTTGGCTCCCTCGCCAGATTGCCCCCGTTTGCCAGATTGGGCCTGCCAGATTGGCTTCGACTACCCAGCTTCAGGACCGCGACCGTGACACCTCCGGGCCGTCACCGGATCAGTTTCCGTGCTGCCCAGACTTGTGGAGGCCGATGAATGGAGAGAGGAAGCGTGCGGCCAAATGATTTCCAGGTGTCTGAAAGGTGTTTTAATTATGGCTTAACTATGTAAAAACATGTTTGAAACATTTGTAGACCATGTTTCACACATTTCGAACACAGTCTAAGCACATGTTTAATTCAATGATCGGATTGTTAGAGTGTCCATTGTCGTGGCATCCACAAGCCCAGACATCCTCTTCGTCGTGACCTTCGCCCCGCCGACTGCTTCTCCAATTTGTCGGTGCCCGGGACCCCCCCACGGAACCGGCCGTCTAGCAACGACTCGGGATGACACGCCAGTCTTGGGAAGTCGAAATTGGGATGGAAAACAGCGTTGGGAAATAAGTCACAGGTCTGGGCCAGCGACTCGACAAACGCGGATCGTCGGAGGCGTGTGCACTTCCAGACATAGCATGAACAGCCTTCACTTAGTTTGTTTTCCCGACCGTTCTTTGAGCAATTTGTGGATGACTCAGCAGACATGACCTTGATCCCCCTCGCGGTCATCATTTTCACCCATCTCGCAGTGCAATTGCACCTGAACCAGCCCAATATCTTTACTCATACACAACTCACGCCTACCACCCTCCACCCCTCACCATCATCACCGTGACCCACCCCCTTTCCGTACCGCCGACCGCCCTTTCCCAGTCATGATTTGAGCCCCATGCCACGGCCATGCCGCTTTCATCAATCGGGGGCGGAAAAGAGGGGGGTAATGACTAGGGGGGGTTGGATATCATGGCGTGGGCCATGATATCTCCCCAGATTTCGTGGCGCCTCTTCTTATTTAATTACGTCCCTGGCCCCCCCGCTGGGCCGCGCACATGCCGCCGGTCATGATTTGCACCCCCCCTCTTGGACACCCCCCTCTTGGCCGCTCCCGATGCCACGGCCATGCCGCCTTCATCAAGGTCATGGCTGGGCCCCCTCTCCGATCGTGATCTTCACCCCCCTCGGGGTCGTCTCGTCGGGTTTGCTCCCAGCCATCGGCTTCGAGGCCACTGCCCAGGCCCCGATTCGCCATGACCTTCCCGCCGGCGGTCATGGCGTACACGCCCTCGTCGTCATATCCGTCACCCCTGTTGGGGTCAGGGCCTGGCATCGAGGTCATCATCGTCGCACCCGTCGCAACCAATCCCTTCACCAATAACGTGAACATGCCTACATGCTCCAGCTGGCTTCTGCAGAAATCATTTTAGAAGATCATTTGTGGCGCGGTGTTCGTCGGTCTTCCAGTGTGCCAAGGTGCTCTGGAGCTTTTGCGGGTCCCCTGGGTCCATCGGTGGATAAAAGATGTCCGTGGGGCACCTGCCGTCGGGGCGGCTTCTTCTTGCACGTGCCCGCTGCACGGCCTGTTCGCCGCGTGACGACCCAGGCGCTGGTGTCTGACACCGCGTGGGTCGTTCGGCAGGGGTCGACCCAAACGGTGTTCGGGCGATTTCTCGGGCCGTTTCCTTTTCGATCTCGTTCCGCAGCAAGGTATGGGTTGAAGACGATACGCGGGAGAACGAAAGCAACACGAACACGACAGCAGACATTGTTTGGGCCGATGCCCGTCGTTCGACCTCGAACGATCGGCGGCCGCTCGATCGCCAGCCCGCGCCGTCTTGGCCGATGTCTGGGCCACTGGCAGCGGTCCGCCTTGGACGACCGCGGCGGGCTGTCGCCGCCGCGTCGACGCGTCGCGACCTTGCCGTCGTGTGATGCTCGGGTCGGACGATAGGGGGGGATTGGGAAAGGGGGGGGTACGAAATGTGCTGCATGCAGCTGGTTTCGGCCTCACCGAGGGGCCCATTCCTCGATACATAGCCGCCTCCGGCGCCGGGAGGCGCCGGGAAAATCAGCTACGTGAGCTGATTCTCAAACCCCCCTTTGCTATCCCCCCCTTTCGCCCGACCCGAGATGCGCCTATGCTGTGCGCCGGACCGGGGAGGAAGATCGTGACCCACGGGATGCACGGCGGCCAGAGCTGCGGCGCGTTCGACTCCCAGGAGGGGGGGGAGGAGGAGGAGAAGGAGGAGGAGGAGGAGGAGGAGGAGGAGGACGAGGAGGAGGAGGAGGAGGAGGTGGAGGTGGACGAGGAGGACGAGGAAAACAAGCAGGAGAAAGAGGACGAGGAGGACAAGGAGGACGAGGGGTGGTGCGTATCATGCTGAGGGAGGGGAGGGGTGTATCCCCACCAAGGGAGTGCAGTTCGCGCGTGCTTCCAAGGATGTCGCGTCTGCCTATAGGACTTGGAGCCGGCCGGGGGGCTGAGGTGGCCCAGCACTGCTTCCCGCCAACCGACAGGGTGGAGAAGGGGGCCTCCTCGTCGCCACGGCTGGACGCGACTCAAATCTCAGGCCAGTCTTGACCTTTGGATGGGTGGGTAGATTTTCAGCGGACTTGCTTTGTCAGCCACGCGCAGAGGGGGGTAGGGGGAGGGGGGAGGGCTTCTTAGAAGCACCCCTGCTTCTTCGAAGGCGCGGGCCTTATCCATAGATGTGAGGCCGCCGCCTTCTAAGAAGCAGCCTCCTTCTAAGAAGCCCTCCCCCCTCCCTCCACCCCCTTGTGCGCGCCGCCAACTTTGGTTCCCTCCTCTTGACAGGTTCTCTCGGAGTCCATCCAGCGCAGACCCCCCGGCCGCTTCCAAGTCGCACCTGCCTGTAGGACCAGCCCACGGGTGGCAAGGAGGTTTTTGTTTGGGAGTGGGTGCAGCTTCCAGTTTGCCATCGTCGTCGGATCGGGGTCGCGATATGTCCATCCATCGATCTGGTCGGTCCGAACTATCTGTCATGCGATCCCACTAAAAAAGATCTAACTCTCTGAATCTCGATGTCACGATCTCTCTATATCCATCGACCTCACTAGCCATGTATCGGTCCCACCGCCGATCCATACAGGTAGACGGGACAACCACGGGACAACCACGAGACAATTTGGGAATAGGCACGTGCAACTTCGGGACAACTTGGGTCGACGACGGGACAACCATGTGTCAACCACGGGACAACGACGTGACACCCCCAGGACAACCACGGGACAACCACGGGAGAACTACGGGACAATTGCGGGACACACCTCTGGACAATTACGGGGCAAACAAAGGACAGCAACGGGACATTCCCAGGACAACCACGGGTCAGTCGAAGGACAGCAGCTGGAGAAGCGCGCGTCGACCACGGGACACCCCCAGGACAACCACGCCACATCCGCGGGGCAATTTTGGACCAGCCGCCAGACACCCCCAGGACAACCGCGCGGCGACCACGGGACGACCGCAGGACAACCACGGAACAACCACGTGGCATCCGCGGGACACCCCCAGACACGCCTTGGCGCATCGGTGCCCTCGTCATTTTGGCGCGCCCTGCGCCTAGCTAGCGCAGGAACTCGCGCAGCATCGCCTCGACCACACGCGCGTCACGCACGACGCGAACCGAAGCTGAAACCGATTTCTCGGTTGGGGGACTTCGTTTCAGTTCGATCTCACCCCGCAGCCTCGGATGTCGTTTCCAGCAGTTGCCTTCATTACGCCTGTATTCTACACATGGGCGCTGCAAGCACCGCTGTCCCACGGAGTCAGGCGAGAGCTTACGAGGGCGGAGTGACGGCGTGACGTTGGCTCGGACATGTGATGTAGATCGTTCATTTCGGATTATGTGTCGGAACGGGTTGTCCGTGTACAGACGTAGCCCATGTTTGCCAGAACGCATGTCCGAGCTTGGTTTACGCATTAATCGCACAAGCCCTCATACGGAATTGAAATGTATGCATTCTCTCACCGACCAACTGGGATAACATTGAAGCACCGCCTGCTGCAGTGAAACGGTGTTCTGATTATTGTTTCCCCTTCGTGTACCCCCTTCAGTTGGACACCTTACATTCAAACATTTGTTCAATGTCCAATGCATATGTGCATGTGCGCGCTTGCCTGCACGTAATGCGCACACATCGGTACAGAAAGCGCGGGCAGGAGGTTGGCAAGTGCCCACGTGATTGCGACGAAAACGTGTTCTGCGTTTGGAAGGACGCCTTGCACTCATTGGGGGCGAATCAGGAAAACAGTAATTACGAAGAGATAGCCCAGGCGGGCCAGCGCCAGAGCCGGCAAACATGAGATGGAATATCTGCCACCCATTGGCTTGCACTTGGAATGTTCGGCCATAGCATGCACCGTAGTGACGGCACGTCCTCCAATTATGCGCCGTTCTAACTTCATCATCTGTATCCTCCGCCTCTTCTTTCCTTTGGCTGTGCTTCTTTGGGGCTGTCAACTAGACTTTGTCCCCCCTCGATCCTCGCTCCTCCGCTTCTCTCTGTCCCGTCCATCGTACAATACTCTTACCTGGCACGACGACCAGTCTCATCTCTCCCCTGCTGCTGTCAGGTGCAGCCGCCGCATCTTCCACATATCCCCTGTGAAACAGCAGTGCAAGAACTTATAGTTCACAGATGCTGTTTAATCGAAGCGTCCGTCTTCGGCCCTTCAACAATGGCGTTCCTTCTGCAGCGCTGGCCACATGAAGGGTCGGTGAGTGGCTCCAGACGTCCAAAGGGCTTTCCCTCCCTGGCGCGGGCCTCGTTTCTGGACTCTGTGCGGGCGCCCGCGTGCCACGCGCCCGACGCGCCTCCCGCGCCCCGTGCGCGCCCGATCGTGGCGCTTCGGCGGTGGGCCGCGCCCGCGACCCTGTTGGATCGCTGCGCCGCTCAGGCCGCCTCCTCCTCCTCCTCCTCCTCCTCCTCCTCCTCCTCCTCCTCCGCCGCCTCCTCCGCCTCCTCCTCGTCCTCCTCCTCCTCCTCCTACTCCTCCTCCTAAGCCTCCTTCTCTTTCTCCTCCTCCTCCTCCGCCTCCTCCTCCTCCCTTCTCCTCCTACTCCTCCTCCTAAGCCTCCTTCTCTTTCTCCTCCTCCTCCTCCGCCTCCTCCTCTCCTCCTTCCTCCTCCTCCTCCCTCCTCCTCCTCCTCCCTTCCTTCTTCTCCTCCTCCTCCTCCTCCCCTCCTCCTCCTCCGCCTCCTCCTCCTCCTCCTCCTCCTCTCTCGTCCTCCTCCTCCTCCTCCTCCTCCTACTCCTCCTCCTAAGCCTCCTTCTCTTTCTCCTCCTCCTCCTCCGCCTCCTCCTCCTCCTCCTTCTCCTACTCCTCCTCCTCCTCCTCCTCCTCCTCCTCCTCCTCCTCTTCCTTCTTCTCCTCCTCCTCCTCCTCCTCCTCCTCCTCCTCCTCCGCCTCTTCCTCCTCCTCCTCCTCCTCCTCCTCCTCCTCCTCCTCCTCCTCCTCCTCCTCCCTCATCCTCCGCCGCCGCCGCCTCCTCCTCCTCCTCTTCCTCCTCCTCAATCCTCCTCCTCCTCCTCCTCACGCTGCTGCAGACTCTGGCCGCTGGAGCGGCGCAACACATCGCAGGCGGCGGTGTGACTCCCCTCTGCCCTCAAGCTTTCGACTAACAACCAGGCCTCTCAGACAATGATGGAAACATGGGACACACCCCAAGTGGGCTATTCGGAATCACCCCTATCGAGGATGGGCTCCACCCATCGTATATCCCAGGGTTGGGCTTCAACTTGCTGGTCCCGTATGCTAGTATGATATGTTAGTATGCTATTTGATGCTGGAAAGTATAATTATAATTTCGAATTGTGTCCTGGTGAGGGGCTTGTCACATCAAGGTTAGGGAGCTGAGACAATGAAGAATATGATGGCGATGATGCAAGTCTTTGGACACTGTTCAGTTCCAGTCGCACGCTGCTTCCCCGATTGCCTGATTGCTACGACGACAATTGTCAGTAGTGCTACACCTGTGCACGACGCAAGTATACATTGCGCACTGAGGTATAACTGCGTGGTTACAAGTACCACGGCATTGCAGCTGCGTTGGGGTAACATAGATTGTGCGTTCCCGTGTTGCGGTAGTGTGGTGATAGGCGTTATTCACAGTACCGTTGCCATGGCAAGTTGCGCAAGTGTTTGTTTGAAGTATGCGTTGGGGATCGCGTGTGACATGTTGATTGGCTCATTGTGCCAGCCCGCGATGTGACACATTTGTCGTTTTGAAACATACTGTGAGGTATGTTTGTCTGTAGTACCTGGCGAGCCACGAAGTGTGAAATTATGTGTCATGCGCAGTGTGCACTATACGCATTCTACAACATCAGCAACGAACACCACAACTATTTCTTTTACGGCTACGACTACGACTACTACCACCGCTACGACTACACTACTATTACTGCGATTGCGACATCGACTACGACTATTAGTTCGACTCCTCTTATTCTTACTCCGACGACGACGACGACTAGTATTACTTTTACTACGACCGCTATGGTCGCGACAACTGCGACTACGATTACTAATACCACTGCTTCTAGTACCACCACTACTGCTACTACTGATACTGCTACTACTACTACTACTGCTACTACTACTCGTACTTCTACGGCGACGACAACGGCGTTCACAGCTTACTAGTAGTACTACGACTACGAATGCTAGTAGTAGTAGTACTATTACTACTACTCTTTTTTAGTTCTACTACTACGATTACTACTACAACAACTGCTACTACTACTACTACTACTATTGCTACTACTGCTACTACTACTACTACTACCACTACTACTACTACTACTACTACTACTACTACTACTACTACAACCACTACTACGACTACTACTACCACTACTACTACTACTACTACTACTACTACTACGACGACGGCTACTACGACTACTACGACGACTACTACTACCAATAATAATTCTACTACTACTACTACTACTACTACGACTACTACTACTACTACTACTACTACGACCCCTACTACTACTACGACTACGACTACGACTACGACTACTACTACTACTACTACTACTACTACTACTACTAGGGTCACATATGTCCCATGGACTCTGAGTCTTGGGCTGGGGCTTGGGCTGCTAGCCCAATATGTTGGAAATTGGTTCAGTGGAAGCCCAATATCTTGGCAACCGAGATGTAGGAAACCCGATACCATGGAGACCCAGCATTGGGAACACACTATGTTGGAAACCCATAATATTGGAAACCCACGATATTGGAATCCCATTAGATTGGACAACCAGTATACTTGAAACCAGATGGCGGAAGCCCAGTATACTGTATACTTGAAACCCAAGATGCTGGAAACCCAATAGTTCGGAGACCCTTGACATTTGGAACCCAATGTGTTGGAAACCCGCCAGCGTGCACCCTGCGTGCACCCATAGCGCGCATTCAAAATACTTCACTTAAACGCAAATCAGCACAGGGTTAAGCGAACTCACGGTTCAGATCCACCCTCTGCTGTTGGAGTCTTACGGGGTCCTATACAAGGGACTTAGGATGGCTGGAAGATCCCTGTGGGAGTGCTTTTGCAGTCTTACGGAGTCCTATAGGAGTGGTATGAGATTGCTACAGGATTTCTACAGGCTGCTATAGCAGTCCGGCGGAATCCTATCGGAGGGGCACGGGCGTGCTATAGGATTCCCGCGGGGTGCTATAGGAATCCCGTACGAATCCACCGGGGTACTCAAGTACCCTTGCTATAGGAGCCCTACGGACCCTACATGAGGGGGGTTGTGGGAGTGCTATAGGATCCGTCGGGCATGCTATAGCACTCCGACGGAGTTCTATGGGAGAGGTATACGACTGCTACAGGATCCCGACTGGATGCTTGAGGAGTCCTACGGAGTCCTATTGGAGGGGCATGGGCGTGCTATTAGATCGCTACGGGGTGCTATAGCAGTCATACGGATTCCCGTCGGAGTGGTATACGTGTGCTATGAGATCCCGACGAGATGCCATAGCAGTCCTACGGAGTCCTACTGGGCTGGGTATGGGAATCTTTTTTGAAAGTCATATGGATCCTATGATTCCGGCCATAAATCAAGTGCGAACTACCAGTAGTTTGTATAGTTTCTTGTATTCTTCTTTTGACTGCGAAACACGGGCACCAGCCGTAGATAAGCGGGCATACACCGGACAGAGTGGATGAGTGACCTTTTTTCTAGTATTACTCGTGGTACGTCTATTAAATTTATCAGTACTATCATTATTTCTATACTATTACTCTCACTATTACTATTACCATTACGACTACTACTAATACCACTACCACTACGAATATACGAATAATACGATTACTTGTATCACCATTACCAGTAGTGTTACTGGTGCGACTCGCACGATTCGCATTAGTACTACGAGTACTACTGCAACCATTACCAACACCATTACAACTATTACGACTACTATGATTACATTTGCTACTATTACGATCAAGTAATGTTGCTGTTACCGTTACTACTACTATTAGTACTACATCTACTGCTACTACTACTACTACCACCACTACTATTCCCACTACTACTACTACTACTACTACTACTACTGCTACTACTACTACTACTATTACCACCACTACTACTACTACTACTACTACTACTACCACTACTACTACTACTACTACTACTGCTACTACCCTGAGTACGACCTCGATTACTACATTATGATTACTGACACAAAGGCTAATACCATTTTGCAATTATTGCGATTCCTATTACTACTCCGGCTACTACTACAACAACTACTACTACTACTACTATTACTACTATTACTACTACTTCTATCACTACTAGTACTACTACTACCACTACTGCTACCAGTATTACTACGACTACTACTACTACTATTACTACTACTACTACTACTACTACTACTACTACTACTACTAGTACCACAACTACGACCAATACTATTACTAATACTACGACTACTATTACTATTACTTTTACTAGTAGGATTCCTCATTCTACTACTACTACTACTACTACTACTACTACCGATGCTATTATTATTACTACTACTACGACTACTACTACTACTACTACTACTACTACTACTATTACGACTACTACTATTATGACTCTCTCTACTATTACTATTACGATTTTTCTATTATTACTACTGCTACGATTGTTTCCATCACTGCTATTACCACTACTGCTCTTATTACGACG